AGTTTTAGCCTATCAAAATATTCTACCTAGAGGTTTTATTTACAGGTATACCAGTGCGAACACTTCGATAAGGTAGCACAGCTCGTCAGAGCACCGCCACAGCTTGCCTATAGTTTCGTGTAGGTTAGTGACATCAAATTGATGCACAGTAGCTTTAGCTCGCATGTTGCAATATTAGTATTACAGCTCTTTAACGACATTGTAATTCGAGGATCCAGTGGTATTTGGGAGAAAAATATACACAGGACAAAACGTATCGGGTTCTGAACATTTTTATTTAACACAGAGTGCGATAGAGGCGATTTTTCAAAAACCCTATTCATTCTGCCCATAGAGAAATGGGGCTTAGACCCGGAGTTCCTAATATGGGCATAACGAGGACTACAGAATGACGCACGACTACAGTGTCTAGAATCATTACATAAAAGTGTGTATATGTAGTAATTTAGGGGCTAAACCAGCGACCCCACCTTAAGTTGTACAGCCCCAGCTTGCTTATTGTAACTCGTACAGTGGATAGAAATTAGATGCCGTTCCACCTTAAATTATGTAGCACTTTCAGATGGATTTTTGTTTGCTAGCGTCCACTATTTAAGGTGGAACGGTAATTCCAATAGGAGGTTATACCATCAGCCCCAGAGATTATCAAATAAAGCGCGACGATGTGGTGCTGCTAACACAGAAGACGAATTTTATAAAAAGAGTTTTATAACTTAGCTAGCTGCTGTTTTCGCAATTTTCATACGTGAATTATGTGAATATGGACAGTAGCGGCAAGAACTGCAGAGAACCAAGGTATGAAAAAGCTAGTTAAGGAGGATGGAGAGATTTCTGAGCAGGTGGGCGGTGAGAAATGTTGACAGGATGTTAATTTAAGTTACTCAGCTAACGTTAGCATAGCATATTGACGGTCAGGATTGTGCTTTCATTTTATCACTATAGCCACCTTGTGTATTTCAGAATAGCTTATAAATAATAAACAAGAGATAAGAGTAAGAAAAGAAGAAGATAAAATGCACAGATTTTATTAAAGGTTATGCTGCACAAAGGCGGTGTGTATATAGAAGTAGAAATACAGTTGGAGTTTAAGGTGGGCTGGTCTGCATTACCTATATAACTACCTTTCTGAAAGTCCCACTCCAGCCCTAAGGATTTGTATGATAATCATAACAAATTTTTAAATCCAAATTGTTTGTAGTTTCAGTAGATAACTAAACAAAAATGTCAAAAAAGTAATTTTACTACTTGAATCACTATGCAAATTTGAATGTAGTTAAACTACCAGCAAGCTACTGCAAAATGTAATTAAACTTCTAGTTTAACTAGATGTCCTTCACTACTCCCCAACACTGATAGATAGACTGTGATCATTTTTAATGTGAAAGTGAAAATGCATCATATTTAAGATTCATATAATGTAAACAGTAACAAGTGAGTAGTAAATAATATTTACCATTTTATTCATAATAATAATACATACTATAAAAAATATATGTTAAACTGTTGTTTTGCACAGTTTCTTTAATAATGCTCACACGTTCCCTTTGCTCAAAAATACAAAACTGATCAAATTCAGGATTGTGTGTTTTCTTATGATAATATATGGGCCTATACATACATGTCTGGTTATTGGTTAAGCCACCCCCCCACACCCCCATCAGGGAATTTTAATGTTATGTATGTTATAGCGACTCAAACTATTTAATTATAACCATTGCCTTACCTGTTTTCCCTATTTCTGTATTTTAATATTTTATACTAACATTGTTTGCTATCCAGTGTCGACCAGAGGAGAATGGGTTCCCCTTCTGAGTCTTGGTTCTTCTCAAAGTTTCTTCCTCTTGCTCTTAGGGAGTTTTTTCTTGCCACTGTCGCCATTTGCGACACTCATGGGGGCTCAGACCTGGATTTTTTCTGCTTTGCTGCTTTGTGACAACGCCTGTTGTAAAAAAGCGTTATATAAATGAACTTTGACTTGACTTGACTTGATATCTGTTGACACAGTAAGTCTGCTACTGAAGCGTAGTCAGAGCTCCTCAGTACACCCTCCCACCGCCCACCCCTGGTTCCTTATTTCAACTTCTGGAAGTTGGCATGACTTGTGCCAAACAGGCCTGATTGTGTCAAAGGCAGGGGCCTGGAGAAGCACTGAAGAGCACTGAAGATCTTGTTTGTACTATGTACCATTAAGAATGTTTTTGAGAGGATATACAAAGAGAGTCTTAGTTGTAACCACATAAATAGTTTATTTGATTCCATTGTTAATTACACTATGCTGTGTTTTTTGTCCCTCTCTGTGCGTGCAGGCCTCTGTGTGTACATGCAAGGCCTCTTTGTATATGCTTGGGCTTTGTCCTGAAGTGCTATATATGTTTTAACAAGGCCTGGGAAACACTGCTCAGTCCCATCTTGAAGATAAATTGTAACTTTGCAATAGTCCCTTTTTCACTGGAAGTAGTCATTGCAGGGCAACACTGCTTCTGCTAAAGCAATGACAGTAACAACAAGTAGAGTGTGGACAGCTTCCCCAAGTGTTTGCGTTTGAAGCAAAAAACAACCTTATCTCCCAGTTTCAGTGGTTTGTCAGCTGATGATGCGCAGATGAAAAATGAGTTTGTGCAATAAACAAAGGAATAAACTTATGGAGGAATATGGAGGAAAAGAACCTCTGTGTCTTACCGCTGCTGACTAACGTAGCTGGAGATATTGAAACAGCTCGCTAATTAACTAGTTGTCAAAAAAGCTAAAAACGCACACATGCCGCTTTCAGAGAAACAGTTTTCATTTTCTCCCTCAAAAGCTGTCAGCATCTGAGAAAGCGAGTGCTCAGTGGGTAGATGTTTGTTCCCTGAGCTGGTATTTGTGTTAAAACATCTACAGTGGTGCGACAGGCCACAACAACCCGGCACGCCCCACTACCGGCATGTGTGCATTTTTAGCTTTTTTGACAACTAGTTAATTAGCGAGCTGTTTCAACATCTCCAGCTAACATGGCTTATCTAGTATTTGGTTATTTTCACCTATCCATCGATTTATCACTTTGTAGATGTATCTGACGTTATTGTACTTTGATAGCCGTGAAGGAATTTTTCCATGAAGCATTTAGATCCTTTATTTAGTTTGGACTTTGACATTGTTGTGTGCTTGGTGTTCCCCAGCCATTCTGGATACATCCTTGAGCTCCAATCTTGGCATCTATGACAAAGATAAAGTGAGACACTTGAGCTGAAGTGATACGAACGCCAGTGTTTCTGAGGTTAAAAACTGTCCGTAAGACAATAGCGGAACTCGTTTTACCCAGCATTTACGCACTTCCGTTTCTTGTGAAAAGGGCCTATTGTTTAGGAGCCTTGGCCTGCACACACATACACACACACACACACACACACACAGATCTAGTTTAATCCTGGCCCCCATACACACACAGAGACCTCGGACCATAACTTTATTTTTTACCCATTTCATGTACAAAGCATATATTTCAACATTTCCTTGCTTGGTCACAGTTAGGCATAACCTGTTTAGTGGGATATGTTAACTGATGTTATATGATGTAATGAAAAGCACAGCTGTTTTAATTTATAGATAATGGTATAATCGAATGCAATAGCTTAAGGTCAGTGATTATTATTTTATGTGATGGTAAATTAATGAATACAACTAAAATGGCTGATGAAGGGTGACCTGGCACTTTTAGGAGAAGAACAAAGGTGAGTGTCACAGAAGGCCAAGGCTAACTGAAGAAACATGTATGTATGTAAAAGGTACAAAATTGAGCAGTATAAAAAGTTTGATTTTCCTGTTTTTTTTAGTTGCAGCCCCAAGCAACTCTAATGCTTTCATTTGTGAAGGCTTAATCTTTAATAAAAGATTGTACCTTTCTCTGCCATTCTGTGTTTAACTGTTTTCTGTTTTGTATTAGATGAAGATTTATTTTTGAATGCCGTTTTTTCCACAACATAAACGTGCCTGTTTAAGTATATTACTTTCCTTACTGATGCTCTTCTATTTGTCTTCTCTTCAAACTTAACTGCTGGCTTGTCCTTTTGAAAATGATGAACTTGGGCAGGAAAATCCATTAAATGAGGGTTTTAACTCTTAAATGGTGAACGTCAGCTGTTTTCTTTAACTTCAGTACCGTGCCACTTATGACATGCCAGATATGGGCCAAATGTACTGAGGTGTAAATCAACTGAGCACTGATCTGCTGCAACATAACGGTGCTGTGGCCCTCATCCTTCATCCACATTGTTGGGCCACAATTTTCACACCAGAATTGGCCCTTAAAAGCAGATATGAGTCAAAACTATACACAGCTGTCCAGCATCTGGCCCAGTTCTAGCCCACATGCCTAATATCTGCCCAGAAGTCAACCAACACTCGTGTATGTAAGCCAGAATTGGCCCAGAACTATCTGCTATCTGGGTGGGCCACTTAGGACATGCCAGACTTGGGCCAAAAGTACTAGATCGGCATAAATCAACCAAATACAGATATGCCCAATTTAGTTGTGCTGTGGGCCCCTTCCTTTATCCACATTCTTGGGCAACAACTTTCACACCAGAATTGGCCCTTAAAAGCAGATGGGTCAAAACCATACACAGCTGTCCAGCATCTGGCCCAGTTCTAGCCCACATGCCTAATATCTGCCCAGAAGTCAACCAACACTCGCATATGTAAGCCAGAATTGGCCCAGAACTTTCAGCTATTTGGGTGAGTTTCGCTAGAATCGAGCATTTCACACTAGCCAAATTTGAATGACTTTGCATCTTAACGATTTCATTTATGCAAACATTTTGAAAATCGGTGGACTTCCCCTTTGAATGCTAGCGTAGGCAGGGAAACCCCTTTAAGACTTGCGCCTGCATGGGTTTCCATTTGCGGAAAAAAAACAAAACAATTGGGCTAAACTACATTACCCAGAAATCCACAACACCGTGTAATTTTCAGGCGCTGCGCCTCTAGTGGTAAAAATGATCATGCACGCAACCGGCCTCACAGCTAGCGGGAGAGAAGGCTGCAGCGCTCAGACCACAGACCCTCATCTGTGGTGAGCAGAGACAGCGAGAGATCTCCGGTAGGACATATGCTCATCCGCAAAGGTGAAGCAGACTCTGCTGTGGTCAGCACTGAAAGGGGCCTGTGAGGAGGAGCTCTGTACAGGCTCATATTTCCCCTTTTCTTTGTGAAACCGAAGAATATTCTCCAGTGAAGATGGGCAATCGGGGAATGGAGGAGTTGATTCCTCTGGTGAACAAGCTGCAGGACGCCTTTTCTGCAATCGGACAAAATGCCAATCTGGACCTTCCCCAAATCGCTGTGGTCGGAGGTCAGAGTGCTGGGAAAAGCTCGGTTTTGGAGAACTTCGTTGGAAAGTAAGTGATACAGGAGCTTCATTGAGGATGCTCCTTAGCTGAATGGGAAATGACCATGATAGGCTAATTCATATTACGCCTCTAAGAGAAGAAGCGAGCTCACAGATTTGCTCAGCTGGGCTTTACAGTGTATAGTGGGTCATTGTACGACTAGTCGTTCCTTCAGTTCATTTTCATGTTGAGACTTGCAGCCAGTACAGGCTGCTGTAGCTTCCTATATGTAATAAAAACTGATTTCCTCAGCAAACCTCGACCGTAGACACGGCACTGCTTATTACCAGCTAAATCAGGTAGATGCTAAAGCCAGGAAGAAATGCCTGAATGGGATTCCAGGGAGTGTTTCAGGGAATCCTCGGCGATGATTTACTGCTCAGCTGTGAATTTAACACAGATCTAGCCTATAGGCTGTTGGCTGCTGCCTGATTAGCTTAATGCCTGTGTAACATCAGGAACAGCAGCCCTCGTCGTGAACACCGTGACCGGCCTGTTCAGATCTACTGGAGTCTTAGGTTTTAAGGGTTCGTTATGAATTAATTCGATGCAAGCGCCTGATGTCGAGACGGAAAAGGGCCAGAAAGATTTATTGCCTGGTCGGTGCCCGGTTGTAAGCCCTCAATGGGCGTAACTCGGCATCACTGGGTCTCTGGACCATGGCTCCACCGTTTTGACCAATGTCGGTGTTACTTTGTGGTTTGACCTTTCAGCATCTGATTGTATGAGGATGTGGTTTGATGCCACCACGATTGTCATTCTGCTGGACCCGTCAGTGCAGCACGATTCTTGCGCAAATGAGAGAGAGACAGAGAGAGAGAGAGATTGTCAGGGGGAGGGGGTGGAGGTGCTGGTGGGGGATGAGAGCGTGAGTGAGAGAGAGAAACAGGGGGGTGAGAGGGTGGGCTGGATATCAAAGCGTTTCACGTTTCTGTATGATATATATGTATATATATATATATATATATATATATATATATATATATATATATACCTTATATTTCTCAACCCATTGATGTCCATATCTGAAATTTTAAAATTCCCTTGGGTCCATATGTTCTCCCAGGCTAAAAAGTGGTCACATGAAACATAACAGTAAAAAATCATAGGTGAACTCTGAATAGAAATATAACAATGACTTACTCACAAATTCAATTACTATTAAATTCTAAAGGATTCTGTTTGATGTTCATGTATCACTATCAGATTAGAGGTCCTCAAATCCAAACCTTGAATCCAGTTACTAGTCCTAGATTATGTAATCACTGGTAGGTATGACACCAGATGGCCAATCAATTACATCTACCCTCCTGTTAACTACCACTGATTACAACATCCACATCCAGACACTGGATCAAAGGTCTGGATCTGAAGACCTCTGCTTTAGACCAATCAGTCCTGTGGCATTTTTCCTCACTAAATTTAGTTGTTGAACATGATTGGGTTAAAACAGACCTAAATGAGACCAAAGCGAGGTAGTCTTTGGTGGTTTCAGGACCAAGGACAGTTCTCTCAAGGGTTTCTGCGATATGGTGAGATCTGGTGGACACATTGCTGTCATCTGCTCTGGCTCCAGATTTCAGCTGATCAGATGTGGCTTAGTCATTAATAACCAGTATGTTTCTGGTTTCTCTCAGGATTGCAAGAACATTTGCATTTCTCCTCACAGAGTGGCCATTATAAGGCAAGGACAGCCCCCTCCACCCCCTCCCAAGAAACATATGGTTCATACGGGCTACCAGCTTCTAGTCCCTCCCGCCCCACTCTGCACCCAACACAGAGAGCTTTGTGCACTCCTGGAGGAGCGGTACAAGCTCTAAGCCCAAATCGAGACACCAGATTCTCTGCTGTTATGTTGTGATGTTCAATGCTCTCTCCTGTGTTTTCTCTGGCTCTCCATTGTGCACTCTCAGGTTCAGAGTGACCACTGCTCCGTGCTGTTCACACTGTGGACGATGTGTACACTGAGGAGTCTGTCATGCTCTTCTGCCACAATCAGGCCCTTTGATTGGCAGCAAAATGGGTGCTGTTGTTCGTTTTCAAGGAGGCGAAAGGGTTGTTTTGTTTGTTTTAAGTGGGATTGCAGCCAATCTGGATATATAATTAATTTATAACGTAAAACTGAGTAATAACAGCTTTTTTTTACAAGAATGTATTCAGCTTTGAATGAATTCAGGGAGGTCAGCTATCTTTTCTGTTAGATGTAGACTAAGTTTGTGGTAGTGTCCTGTAATAAAGAATGGCTGGTCAACCTAATTATGTATTACCCATGTTTTGAGCAGGCAGTCATTGTGAACTATGAGGAAAATGTTTAAATGTATGTATAATACAACAAGAAACATCTACAGTAGCTGGAGAGTGTGCTGTGTGAAGGGAGTGAAAACAGAGAATTTGAATTTGAACAAAATCGTATAATTATATCACATACTTGACAGCCCACTTTAATAGGAACACCTGTACTTCTACAGTCTATAAAATCATGCAGACATGGGTCAAGAGCTTTATTTAACACATCAAACATCAGAATGAGGAAAAAATGTGATCTAAGTGACTTTGTGGCATGGTTGTGAATGATTTAGAAATTGCTGATCTACTAGGAGTTTCAGTAGTCTCTAGTCTCTATTGAATGGTTTGAAAAGCACCCAGTGAACTGCAGTTCTGTGGGCAGAAACGACTTGTTAAGGGATGAATCAGAGGAGAATGATCAGACTTGTTTGAGCTGACAGGAAGGTACTGTAACTCCAATAGCCACTATTTACAGCAGTGATGATTAGAAAAGCATTTCTTAATGCAAAACACATCAAATCTTGAGGTGGATGGGCTACAACAGCAGAAGACCACATCCACTCCTGTTAGCCAAAAAACATGAATCTACGCTACAGTGGGCACAGGCTCACCAAAACTGGAGAGTTGAAAATGAAAACGTCACCTGGTCTGATAAATCTCAACGTCTACTGTGACATCTGGAGTCAGAATCTGCTTTGTGTCAACAGTTTAAGCTGTGGTGATGTAATGGTGTTTCTTGGTACACATTAGCCCCCTTTTACCAGCTGAGCATCAGTGGAATGCTACAGCCTGTCTTAGTATTGTTGCTAACCATATATTTCCCTTAATGGCCACAACTGACCGAACCTGTAATGGCTACCAGCATGATAATGCATGATGTGACAAATCAAAAGTTATCTTAAACTGGTTCCAGTGAATCCAATAGATCTCCTTTGAGATGTGATTAAACAGGAGATTTACAGCATGAACGTGCAGCTGACAAATCTGCAGACATTATATGAATCAATCAGGTCAACTTTGACCAGAATCTGTAAGGAATGTGTCTAGAACCTCACCACACAGAATTGAGGCTGTTTTGAGAGCAAAGGGGGTCCTGCTCAATATCAGAATCATGGTCATAAGAAGGTGGCCAGTGGTTGTATGGGTAAGAGTTAATTTTTTTTATTTTTTTGGTTGATCTCATCACCTATCGGCAAAAAAAGCTAAAAGAAATCCTCTAGAATACTTTTTTTGCTTATGAGACAAAGGGTCAGATTTACTTAGCGTTTGCAGTGGTGCTAATGCTTTTTGCGCATGATGACACACTCACAGCTGATTTATCAATATATGTGCAGAAGCTTTCATTGCACTTGCACACAAGAGTGTCATTTAGCTGCAGTTATTAGTCTACTTCATAAATGCACATTTTAGGGCATAGCACTGTTATGGTGTAAAAGTAGGGGTGGAGACTATGCAAATTGACAACCTGAAGCTTAAACTGACCAGAAAAAAATCTTAGTTTTGTAATGCTATGGAAAAAGAGGTGCAAATACTTCGAAAATATGGAGAAAAAAGAAAAAACTGAGATAAACCTTAGGACTGAGGTTTTTTTTATCCATCCACTGATGCTCTGAGTGTTTTACTGGCACTGTAATTCAAAGTTAGCCACTTTGCACGTGATGTCATCTAAACTGTAGGTCATAGTAATTCAGGTGCAAATTAGAACCAGCTGCGTTAGCTACGTTTTTGCTTGCGCCGCAAGTTTTGCATGCTGTTTGGTAAAAGTGGCCCATAAAGTCTTGATTTATAGTTGAGAATCATCGCACAAGCCTGCCATGACCCCACCCCCCCTCCCGGTGCAATTTGGCTTGAAGGCTTTCCACATTATATCACTAAACAATTGCAGTACGCTTCTAATATTCCAGAATGATGCAATATTTACCTTTTCACTCAGTTCAGCAGTGATAACGTCTAATAATGGAATGTAAAATGCTGATTAAGCTGATAATAATCAACTGGAATGTAAAATGCTGATTAAGCTGATAATAATGGTGGATTTTCATGATGCTGAATTGCATTATAGGCTTCACATTGAAAGACTTTGAAGCATTTGAATGAATCTCATCAAATCGCTGCTACAGTCAGAGGTGCTGAAGGGTTTGGCTGTGAAATTGTGAGTGTGTGACAGTGAGTGAGTCAGTGAGTGTGTGAAAATTGGACATAGTTGTCATTGCTGTGGGGCTCACACTTCAGAACCGCACTGCAGTGTGTGCCTGCAGCTATGCGTATGCCATGCCTAGGATGTATGACAACAGAACACCACATACATTACCACATACATTTTGTCTTTCTTTGCTAGCTTTCTATATCACACCACCTACACACACACAAACACACTCGTTGGCCGTAGTTTGGAGGATCTTTTTTATCTAGTTGCTCATTAACAGTTACAAACTCACACATCACTGGTGAAAACCAGTCTTCTATCCAGATACTGTAAGACAGACCAGAAGGAGATGTAATGTAAAAAAGAAATGTAGCCTTGTTCTTTAATGTATTGCTGTCAATATCAGTCCTTTCTTGGCACCATCTGCTGCCTGTTGTTTACAGGGTTTACAGCTGTATTTGGTTGGGTATTATGCTTTATTGATCCTGCAAGGGAGATTTGTTATTTTGCTGCCTGACTAGGCCCAGTTTAGGAGCAGCACAGTGTCACCCCAGAGCAGCACCACCTGGGGCAGTAGGGATTAAGTGTCTTGCCCAAGGACACAGCAGGGAATACCCATTCAGTCCTGGGATTTAAACCTATGACCTTCTGGTTCTCCTTCCAGAAGGTGACTAACCACTCCTGGTGAAAACAATTCATCCTAATAAAAAATGTGGATCATAAGTAGACTTTGTATTCTTCATATCATTATTTTAGTGCAAACAATATTTAGGCAAGTAGGGCTGCACAATATAGACATAAAATGCAATATTCAGTAAAGCTGTTGGATATCAGAATGATTATTTGTAAAGCATACTAGGTGCAGCTCTTTATGGTGATGCACGTTTGTTGTAACAGTAGCCATTATTGCCTCGAACAATTCACGCATAAGCCTGAGAGTGAGAATAATCACCACATTTGAAGCATTATTACAGGCTAGTAGTTCAGGATAGGGTTTTTGAGCTATGTGTGGGTGGGTTTTGCTGAATGGCTGAAGTTATGAATGACTCCATGTAGCAGAGCAGGGTTCAAGCCCAGTGCAGGGAGGTAAACACTTGTTGGGCTTTTAACACTACATTCCTGCCAATCTAATTACTTTATTCTGGTGCTACACATCTGAAGTAATTTGCTCTGTTCTGACATGATAGCCCATTTCTATGTGTTTATTTTGATTTAAGGTTAATATGATTTATCATGCAGCCTCTCTATCTGCTGTGTCTGTAGCATACAATCAATGACTGTGCCCAATAGATTTGACCTGTTTTTTGGTACTTTTTAAAAAATTAGAAGAAACACTCAGCCCCTTTATATTAGTAGCCAACGGGTGCAGAAGAACAGAAAAAAATCATTCACTCAAAACATACTCAAAGTGGAAGCCAGTGGGTAGGTGTTTCAGGTGCTGTGAGTTTTATTCTATTTTAAATGTGTTTTAAAACACTTTTTTTGTTCTTGTCTAAGTACATAGAAGATTGTCTATGGTAATCAACCATATGCTGCAGATGAAGCATATAAAGAATGAAAAGTGCTGGAGTAATCCATTAACATGCTGAAAGTGTGCAAAACTTTACCTCTCTGTGGCCTAACCTGCAGTCTTCTAGAGGCACCATCTGGAACTGAAGCAAGCTCTTCCATTTTTTGTATAATGTTCAATTTCTTACTTGTTTTAGTTTTCTATTCAACACAATTACTGTGTACCATAAATAGTAGCAGCTACTGCAGTGATTGCTGCTTTTAGAATGAGTGACCCCTGTTCTGTTCCCTTCAAGGGATTTCCTACCCCGAGGCTCTGGCATTGTCACTCGTCGGCCCCTGGTGCTGCAGCTCATCAACTGCCCTACAGGTAATAAACACAGAGCCCTCAGCGCTACCTGCTGAGAGCTGGGGTCATTGCTGCATAAAACATGCAGTTAAGTGTGCATAAAGAGGCAGTTAATGTGAAATATGTACAAAGAAGCCGCAGATATTCAGCCACAGTTTTGTTCTCCTGTCTGCTTTTTATCATATTAAAAGCCTTGAGCTTTAGCCATTGTTCCACTCATTTTCATGCATAAAATCTTTATTGATTTGTAGAGTATGCAGAGTTTCTTCACTGCAAAGGGAAAAAGTTCACTGATTTCGATGAGGTGCGTCAGGAGATCGAGGGAGAGACTGACCGCATCACTGGCCAGAACAAAGGGATCTCTCCAGTACCCATCAACCTGAGAGTCTATTCCCCTAATGGTAAGACTTCAGAAAACAGACACACACGTAGCAAGGTGAGAGGCCCATGGTGACTGCCAAATATCTATATGTGACCCCTTAAGTACCTACGATAGCTTAAAGTTCCAAGGAAAAGAGTGTAAAATATCAACAATATTTGTATGATACTAAAATTAAGTCTTATATGAAGCATCCAAGCAAAGTTTGTATAAAAAAAATCAGGATGGAATATATATTAACCCCTTATCACAGTAGCCATAAACTGTGATTTCTGGCTGTTTATGACACCTCTCATTTTTTTTATTCAATAACATTAAGTTATAAGACCAGACGCAAAGGGATGTTTGTAGGTGGGGTCAAAGTTTATAAAGTGTTTCTTCTGTTTAAATATGATTATTTTATTGTGGGACTTATACACATTTTTTTGACATCAAGACAGCTGCTGCATTTGGTCATGTTGTCTCTGCAAGGCCGTCTTTGTGGAGAGGAGCTAATAGTTTTCACAGCAGGTGCTCTCACCTCACTAGTATTGCTCACTAGCAGTTCAACATAACATTTTAGTTATGGGGAAAAATGTATTTGATTATATTAATTTACAGTATCCAAGTTCATTTTTATTCAGCCACTATGGGGCCTGCAGAAAGAGGAAAAAACACTGCTTAAAAAATGCTGATCAGACCTATAGTTATGTGAAGAAGTCAGCACACCCCCTGAAAAGATGGACTTTTTCAGCATATTTGGACAGACAGATATCCAGTGTTGGTTTAAACAGTGTTGATAGATAAAAGTGATATAATTCTGACACTTAATTTTTTTCATCATCCTTTATATAACTGAAATAAACAGTAATGCAGTTTTCTTATATGGACAAAGTAAGTACACGCCTACGTATATCACTTCTTCAAATGTGTCGAATTGAAATCAGGTGGACTGTTTGTGCAAGTGCTGCCAAAGTTTAGGACTGCCCAGTTTACATCGAAAGGGGAGAATTTAGGTGAAAACACATTGTCCACTAGAAAGTTATTCACACGACATTCTTTGTATATGTATACTGTATGCAAGAGCAAGATTCACCTATTTCAAAAGAAGACATGAACATTTAGGAAGCCTGGGCCTTTAATAATGTATCAACGTAGTACAAATATATACCCTTAGCCGTCATTACATACATAACAATGGCAAGTAAAAAGCAATTTACATTGTCATATTTAATTAATCAAAGGTAATTTTCATATCTGGGTCATATCCTGCAACACTGCACAGTGAAATGGACCTCTCTGCAGCGTATTAGGCGCAGCTTTGCAAATTCACTGCTAATCTCCCAAGCAGTGATCACACCCACACACATAGCAACACAGCTCCGTGAATTTTCCACTGTTTTGTTGCAGAGACAGAACAACTTTTAGAGATGGCATCACTTTTTCTTTTCTGATAGCGATACTGATTTTGAAACCTTGAGTATCGTCCAATATCGATATGATATTTTAAGCTTTAAAATGAACTGTTTTTAATTGAAGCATCACGTAAAGGGGATTCCATTGATTATGAAAATGTATACATAAGAGAAATGTGCCAAGTCAGAATTGTTTACAGTGGTAGTGATAGGAACCAGATATCTAAAGAGTTTAATGCCACTAAAAGCTACACAGGCCAATATCATGATGCCTGTGACATATTTTATGATAGTTCTGAGAAAAGGATTTGGCCTAAAATGTTTTGTTAAAAGTAATTCTTTAAGGCTACAGGGCAATAAATGTAGGGCACAGTAGTCCAAAGAGAAAGATTTATTACTATTTTACCATTAGCAAAAGAAGACATAAAAACTCAGAAGACATGTGTAGGTTCACTGGTGGTTTTGGATAGTAAATAAAATGACTGAATTCACTTTGTAGACGTTGTGATCCCTGATTCCTATCACCACCACTGTAAAGAAATCCGAGTCACAAATTCTTCACAGTGCACCATTTCACATCAAACTACTGTAAATGACTTTGTTTACAATTCCCCTGAAATAATATACTTTAACCATTAGCCTACTCTATAGAGACAGTAACGACAAACAAACAAGCAAATTACCTTGTAATTTGATAGTAATTGAAGGTACTTTTTGTATTTGGATCCCATTAATTAAGATTCCAGTTAAGCCACTGACCGTTAAAGGGACCTCTCTGAAGTAAGCTGGGAGCAACTTTGTAAATTCAGTGTTAATCTCCTCTGCAGTGGTCACATCCTCACACATATCAACACAAATCCATGGAATGGATGCATTAGTTTGCCAGTGTTTTGCTTCAAAGATAGAACAACTATTTTTAGAGATGGTAAGATGCTATTTTTTCTTTACTGATACTGATGTTGAAACCTTGAGGATCATCCAGTACTGATCTAATATTTTACCTTTAAAATCTACTAAGCTTTAAAATGAGCTATTTTTAAATTAAGTACTTAGCTTAAGATGAGGGTCTAAAAAATAGACTGAGGCGTTCTGTTACCCCACAGGAAAGAATACACAGCTAACCTCACCTCACACAGTGTGAGTGTGTGATTTTTCATGATAGATTTGCTACAGGATCAAATCAGATTCTTTTTTTCTGTTCCATATCTGATCCATCGTTTTCTGCTGATATCGAATCAGAGCTGTTTCTACTACCTTTAGCCATTTATGTTTTTTAGTTTCACTAATGTAAACATACATTTTTTATGCTGTTATATCTGCTTATAAACTTGTAATTATTTCCCATTCAGTCCTGAACCTCACTCTGGTGGACTTGCCTGGGATGACCAAAGTGCCGGTAGGAGACCAGCCGGCCGATATCGAGTCCCAGATCAGGGACATGATCATGCAGTTTGTTACCAAGGAGAACTGCCTACTGCTGGCCGTCTCGCCTGCCAACTCTGACCTTGCCAACTCAGACGCCCTCAAGATCGCCAAGGAAGTGGATCCTCAAGGTGTGAGCTAAACTTAGCACAGTTCATGTCCATTGGTGTGTTTTGATGCAAATCGTTTGAGACGTCTAGCCTTAAGTGGCCACTTACCATGAAAACGGACAGATTTACTGGACCCGTAGACAGAAAAATGCATGCGCTCTGGTTTTTAGTAGGTCAGAGCCGAGTGAGATCAAGGGCTGTTATTTACAACCTTCATGAATGATGCAGCATGAAAATGAAACTTTCCACCTAAAGCCAAAAATAGACAGAAACTCAGAAAGCCTGAGTTCTCTGGCTTTCTAGGGTCTGTTGCTGTGAAACAGAACATATTTATGCAACAGGGGTAGTAAAAACTGGAATAATGAAAAGTTAGATAGAATAGGTTTCTCTTGGCCATTTAGGCTACGTTCACATTACAAGCCTCATTGCTCAAATCCGTTTTTTTGCTCAAATCCAATCTCTCTGACTCGTTTAGGTGGTTGATTCAAATCTGTCATTAATGTGAACGAACTGGCATCCCGAAAAGACCCGCATGTGCGCATCCTACTCAGTAACGTCACATGAATGAATCACATGCTGAACTCAGTGTCATCAGCAAACAAACTAATGAGCAGAACGAGCCTTCACTGCAAAGATAATCAACTCTGAACAGCTCTCAGCTGTTCATGATTAGAGTGAGATGACAGCAGAAAAGGTGAGATGTGTTGCCTTTCCACCGTTTGCAGGCTTTAACTTCTGTTTAGCACTGCTGTCATGGTAACACTGAATGATTGCACACCTGTAGTGAAAAGAAAGGACGTGAATTCCGATCTGAGTGTCACATTAAGGTGACATGGCCACGAATCGGATATGTATCTGATAGAGGGCCACATATGAAAGTGGCTCAGGTCGGATTTAAAAAGATCCGATTTGCATGTCCACACAGCTCTGAAAACAGCAGATCTGAGTCACGTTGGATCACCAAAAATCAGATTTGTGCCACTTCAACCTGGTGATAAGAACGTTACCTTATGCACCGTCTTGCTTATGTTTTTATTTCCAAGTGTGAATGTATTAGGAATATTTCCTTACATGTGTGCTTGTATGTATATTTGCTTCTGAGCAGGACTGAGAACGATTGGTGTTATTACTAAACTTGACCTGATGGATGAGGGCACGGATGCTCGTGAAATCTTGGAGAATAAGCTTCTTCCTTTGCGCAGAGGTGAACTTCACTCACAAGAAGACGTTCTATTCACTCTGTCCACTTCTATTTCCTATAAATAGGAAGTCTGTGCGTCATCTTCAAGTCAGCGAGTTATTTTAGATCACCAATTTAGGTGCACTTAGTTCACTTGTTGCTCTTAGAGGAAAAAGCCCACTCTTCACTGTAAATGGTTTCCCAGGTGATAAAACTGAACTTTCAGTGATGTTCTAGCTCTGTCCTGATTGCTCATCACTGTATTACTGAACTCTTCTTTTTCTGAATATTTCTGAGTTCACTGAGTTCAGTCAAGAACTCATTTATCTCCATTGACATTATCACATTATTATATGCTATAATGGGCATTTTAATGGTACAGGCAGGAAAAGAGGGATAGTGGTTGGGTTTTGGTGAAGGAGTAATGTAACTCTACAACAACACACTTTTGATTCATTTTACTCTTTTATTTGTGAGTTCCATCTGATTTAATGTAAAAAACAATACTTGCTTTAGAGTACCTGGAGAACGTTACAGTACCTGGTTGTCAGAGATAAGATTTTAGGCCCACCGCTGTAGAAAATATTCCTTAGTTCTCGCATGTTCTTGCACACCTTGTACTTCAGTCATGTAGTCCTATTCTAACTCACTCTCTGATGCCCCCTGTAGGCTACATTGGGGTAGTGAACCGCAGTCAGAAGGATATCGATGGCAAAAAGGACATCACTGCTGCCATTGCAGCTGAGAGGAAGTTCTTCCTCACCCACCCATCCTATCGCCACCTGGCTGAACGCATGGGCACACCTTACCTGCAGAAAGTCCTCAATCAGGTACACCTACCACACCTAAATGCTCAGCATTGGATTTTTGCAAAGGTTGTTTCTTTGTAACTCTTTCTGATACCTGTTTTAGACTCAATGGTGGGGTTAAGGTTTCATATGGATAAAATACCATATTGTGATTATTTTACTACACCTTGCAGTTGCAGTATGTCTTATGTATATGCCTCTGGACATTGTAATGCACAATTACTGTTCATTTGCTGAATTAAAAAAAAAAGATTTTGTGGCCTGTGCAAAAGTTATAGCACATTTTATATTTTGTTTTTCTTTTTTCCAAAATGTCAATGTCCAAATAAATGGAAAATGTGCAGTAAAAATTGTTTGCAGAAAAATGCCATATTTAAGTTTGTTTCCTGTAGACAATGTTATATATATATACATATATATACATATATATATATATGTATATATATATGTATATATATATATATATATATATATATATATATTTGACTAAATTGACTTGCTTATAGCAACTGGCCAACCACATTCGAGACACATTGCCTGAGCTTATATAGAGACCCATTTAAATTGTATAGAAGAGCTCTTGAGAAAATATATTTTGTTTTTTATTTTTTTCATTTTTCTTTTGGGAAAATATTATTTGTTAATAAGTGTGTGTATTATCATAAGTGTCATATTAAAATCTATACCTTTAGTTTTGTCTTAATCTGACCGATTGACTTCCTCTACTTATAGCAACTGACCAACCACATTCGAGACACGCTGCCAGGGTTGAGGAACAAGCTGCAGAGCCAGCTGCTGTCCATCGAGAAGGAGGTGGAGGAGTACAAGAACTTCCGCCCAGACGATCCGTCTCGCAAGACTAAAGCTCTGCTGCAGTGAGTCAGATCTCTGTGCTTCTGCATCACCTTTTCCAGCAGCACTTGAAAGTACATGTGCCACAAGTGTGTGTATGTATTTAATAATACAGGTGTCAAAAGGGTTATTTGGATCAGTGCTATTGCATCACTCCTTTATTTAGAAGAGTTTAGATAACTGAGTGGTAATCCTTATGCACATCTCAGCCATCCTGTTCTCATTTTTTTTTTTTTGAAGTGCAATTACAAGGACAGAGAAACTTGGTTAAGGTCAGCGCACATATGCACTCATTCATGTGAGCCACCTGCTGCTTTTTCTCCTTGCAGGATGGTTCAGCAGTTTGCTGTGGACTTTGAGAAGTGTATTGAAGGCTCTGGGGATCAGATTGACACCTATGAGCTGTCGGGGGGAGCCAGAATCAACCGTATCTTCCATGAGCGCTTCCCATTTGAACTGGTCAAGGTGACTGTTATTATAATATAAACCATTCTTTCTGAGGGGAAGTCTGTGTCTGCAAGTTGAGTCTAATTCTAAAAATAAAGGCTTTAAAGGCTCCTGCCTTTCACTCTCTTTTCATTGTGTAGATGGAGTTTGATGAAAAAGAACTGCGTAAGGAGATCAGCTATGCTATTAAGAACATCCATGGTATCAGGTGAGTAGTGTGCATGCACCCATACACACAATTGACAGTATTGAAACCTGCATCATAAAGAAAGTCTGACACAAAAAGTATTTTAACAAAATACATAATTGCTATGAAATTCATCATGATACCATTAAAGCACAGTATTTTTAACTGATGATCTCTTTCTCTTTTGCTCGGTTTTTCTCTCTCATCACTCAGGACTGGTCTCTTTACCCCAGACATGGCCTTTGAGACAATTGTGAAGAGGCAGATCGCTAAGATTAAAGAGCCATGTCAGAAGTGTGTGGACTTGGTCATCTCTGAGCTGGTCAATACAGTCAGGCAGTGCACTAAGAAGGTAAAGCTGGATATTAAGATAAAGCCATCCCTGCCATTCGGGTAGAGATGTTGTTTTACAGTACAGGCAAAAATGCTCAAAAATAAAGCCTAATTTTGAGTTTTTATGGTGTGAGTTTTGTGTCGTGCTTGACAGCTGGCCCAGTACCCAATGCTAAGAGAGGAGATGGAGAGGATTGTCACACAGCACATACGTGATAGAGAGAGTCGCACCAAGAATCAGGTATGTCTGTACTTAATCTACTATAGTACTGCTACATATTTACATTATTTATTGTAAATTACAACAGTTTATCTAGAGATAGGATCAAAATTTAGCTGCTTATTTGATAAAAATTTGTAAATGAGATTGAATGTGACATATTTTTGTAATTTGTGGGCTAGGTGATGCTTCTCATTGACATTGAGCTGGCCTATATGAACACCAACCATGAGGATTTCATTGGATTTGCTAAGTAAGACCGTACATCTTATAGATTTCATATGGATTATATCTTTGCTGTGATATCAAAAACCTTGTAACTCCATTTTTACACCATTTGAAAATGTCAGCAACTCTTGACACTGACAGAGATTTCATGACACACAGACCAATAGAAATGGTCTGGAATTGTTTAATATACAAGTTAAGAATGTTTTAGCCTTTTTCGCTTTTGGTGATACAAGGTTTTGTTACAGCAGTGCCATTATACACTATGGTTTACCAGAAAAGTGGTCTTTGTTCGTGTGACACATGATTTGCTGAGGTTTTCTGATCTTGGTGTTTGCTCCTCAGTGCCCAGCAGAGAAGCAGTCAGATGAGTAAGAAGAAAGCTGCAGGAAATCAGGTAGTGACACGCCTACACAAAACAAACTGCAGATACTTACACATTTGGTAAAGCAGTTGGCATAGTACTATGTGATGCTTCTGATAATGGTCAAAATGTAACTACTTGGACCATTACCCTACATCATTGTACACTGACTCATGGGGCATGATAAAGAAAATCCAAATGTCATAGCTATTTGACATATTAATGATAATGACAATGTACTATTTCAGAGCTTTTAAAGTGTACCATTAAGAGTATGGCATTCAGCTCTTAAACTTGATGACTGGTAATATCTGATTGAGTGGAGAGTGCCAATAAATTATTTGTCCTCTGGCTGTGTTTCCATTTGCCGCTCTTTCTTCTCCTCTCCTCCCCGTATCTCTCGCTCTGCTCTCTGCTCTGTCTTTTTCAGCTTATCTAATTACCTCTCTTAAACCCTCTCCTTTGCTTTGCCACTGTTGCTATGGCAATGGCGCTACAGGACGAGATAATGGTAAGTATGCACAGAGTGTTGTCTGTATGGTGCGTGTTTGTGTGTGTGTGTGGTAATGGACTGGAGTTTTTGCAAGGGTTTGTGAATGAAGCCAATAAACCGCCAAATCAAAATTATACCACACACTATTTCCATGCTTTAATTGCACCCGTCTTATACAAAAGAAAGCAGGGTAATTTTCATCCAGCCGTGCCTCTGGCCTTTGGCTTTTGTAGTACATTGATATAGGCTTCTTATCATGTACATAGTGTTGGAGTCCTCCAAGAAATAACATAAAGTTCAGAACAGTGGCTCTGCATGCTCCTGCAAACCTGACAGTAACCCCACCAACAACACACACATCTGTTTTTATACAATGTCATAACACTATGTCCCTTACGTATTATACATATTATTGCTTTCAAAACAAAAACCTTGTATCTCTTTAACAGGAGAAGGAGACAACTTTGCTGACTTTCACTATAAGTTCATGTTACAATATTCTATGTAATTTTGGACCATTTCTATTGGTCTGTTTGACACAGTGTATTCAAATTTATATCAAATTATGTAAAAATAGAAAAAACAACCAAAATTGAGGTACAAGGTTTTGTTCAGACAGTGACTGTATGAAAGTAACTATATGTAATAACATGTTCCACCTAGGTATATGTAAAAACAAAATGTACCATATGTATCATATATATTGTTTCAGTTGGAGCAAAACCTTTTATCTCCAAAATGGTAAAATCAGATTTCTATTAAGTCATTTTGGATGACCCTAACCCTAACCTTAACCAAAAATAAATGATTTTGCCCTTTCAGTTTTAAAAATGAAACAAGGAGCTTTTGTGGAAAAAAGCAAAGTCATGGCAATTTTGTTGGAAAACACATACATAGAAACAATAAAGAACTATTCTCAGGGTTGGGATGTAATAGAATGCAAGTATTAGGAGCACATATTCAGAATACAGAAATTAGGTATCTGTCCAAATTACATTTTTGGAGAATACTTTTAGAATACTCACTGAAAAAAATACAATCTACATATAATCTTCAAAGAAACACCATTGAAGTTTATTTGCTATGGCATGTAGCAAACATGCTCATTAGATGAATAGTAAAGAGGACCTCAGTAGCGGCTTCTTTACAAACACTGAAGTAGACTGATAAATCAAAGTGATGAGGCAATTAGTAATCTCATTGTTACTGAGCTTTTTTGAGGGATGATCAAACCAATAATGTCCTCAGCAGTGGACATGTTTGCAAGTGTTTGTACTGTGCTGCTTGGGCATGGGAGCAGCAGTGGACTGAAGCAGGCGGTGAGAGAGGAACAAACTGAACATTCATTTAAAGGATAAGCAAATTTTTCATGAATCTTACTAACAGAATAATTAGCAGCATAAAGAAAACTGCCAACCTGTAACAGCGAGGAACAGTGTGAATGAAGTAAACAAACAAATAAAAATCCCCCTGTGCCTTACTGAGATGTACTGCAAATGTATTGTAAATGTATTCTGCCATCACTACATTTTATAATACTTTTACAAGTATTTTGCACAACCCTGACTTTAACCCTGATGTGTGTATGTGTAGGTGATCAGGAAGGGCTGGCTAACCATCAATAACATTGGCATCATGAAGGGAGGAGCGAAGGAGTACTGGTTTGTGCTGACTGCTGAGACTCTGTCATGGTACAAAGATGATGAGGTGAGTCCCTTTCCCCTCTTCACTGCAAAAATGATATCATGGCATGTGAAATCATCTAATATGCAGTCACTATAGAAAAAAAACCTCATTATGAATGTTGTCATAAGAACATAATAAGATTAAACCTGTTGGTAGACATTTGTGCTTGGTTTAAGTCATTTTATGTAGTTTAATTATGGTGTTCCATTGGCAGATCGTTTTGCTTGATTTGATTAATTTCTTTAAACAGCTGTACAATTAAATTACTATTTAAGATGCTTTTACTTGCCAGTGTATGGTATTTTTCTTTGCAGTGTACATACTTTCTTGATGTTCTCTGAAGTCTTCCAAAATCCACTAAATCATCTCTTGTATACTTAAATGCTCTGATTCTTTCATACTTCAGGGTTAGGGAGGGGTCTTAGTTGCCCTAACGCCATCAAGCCCAGTGTATTTAGGCTATGTGTCTGGGAACCCGTTTCCCTGTGATTAATGCATTGGCTCTAATGTATTGTTTTGATTACGCTGTTTCCCTGGAAAGTGTTCAGCTTGTCTGAAGGCGTTGGGTAGGTGAGGACAGTCACTGTAATGCAGATATTTTCAGTGCATTAATTGAAATGAATGCAGGAGCTCTATACTTAGCTGTGGTTATAGCACAACATGGCAACCCCGCAGTGCTCTGATTAGGTGCACGTGTGCTACGGTACCTCCATGACCCCCAGCCCAGCCCCCACCCTGTGGCCCAGACGGCAGGCATGAAGCTGGGGTAGACCCGGCTGCTCTGGGCCTAGGGGAGGGGGGGGCATATGGTTTTCATTACCATACATACCAGACTCAGAGTCTGCGAGCCCAACACTTCCACAAGTCTTTCTGAAGAAAAGCCCAACACTTCCTAAAGTCTCCCCAAAAGTTGGAGCAAATGGAAGAGGCCTTTTGTCTGTTCAGACACAGAATGTATCCAGATGGAAATATCTTCAAATGTAAATTTAAGATTTGTAAAGGGTGTAAAAATGATTTTGGCCAGTAAAACAACTTGACAGGTCCAGTGTTGCAGGCATAATCTTGGACATATTGTGAAAATGTGCTTTGAATGAGCTTCATACAAATGTGTGCAGCATTTATATTATACATTAGATATTACATCAACAAATTTTGGCTTTCCTGTGCAGTCACTTAGTTCTAGGTATTAACCAAGTAAAGAGGTACAAACTCCACAGCATTACGTAATTATTTTTGGTAACATGATAGTAAGTTCCGAGACAGTCTAGCTAAATCACACTGAAATGCCCAAAAGGTTCTAGGCATTAACTGGGTAAGTGCTTGATAAATCTCCACAGTACTGTCTTATGATTATGGGTAAAAAGTACCCAGTAGTCATAAGGTGTAAAACGAACAAAGTACAAAGAATCTTGCATAGTATGTGCATGTTTATTATCTGCAAGTGACACTGAATCTGTGCTCTAAAAGGAAGCAATGATTCTTACTGTGGTTTTACTGGGTCCTTACCACTTATGGGTCCTTACCACTTATTTCCAAAAACTATTTTTGTCCATTGTGCCGTTATTTTATGCCATGCAACTGGTACTTGGAGTTTCCACATTACTATTAAAATTCATTGTGTGTACGTTTGTACTTACCACTTTGTTACTATGTTATTAGCTGGAACATGTTAGTCCTTTCACTTTAAATCACTGTACTTTTCATCATTTTAATAATTTCCAATATAATTACACATGCTTTGGAGTTTTGTACCACATCATTACCTGGTTAATATCTAGAATTTAGTAAAAGGATGTGTTACCCACAATTTTGTCTTTTAGTTCATTACCTTTTTGGTTTTGGCAATAATTGTGTTGACGTTGATGTATTATATTCCATTTATTTGGAACAATGAACACATTTGAATAATGCAGCATGCGTGAAATTCATCGTTCACATGATCACGCATTGCAAAGAAATAGTGCAAAAAACTACACCTTTCTGAGTCTTTTTTTTTTTGCTTTTTATTTTGTTCATCATACATGATGCAGTCATTCTGTTCTCTCATACATATATTATACATTATACAAGCTTGCACTGATAAAAGCAAAGGCACAAATTTACACTAAAAGTACAGGTATAATATACTGTCGTCCATGGCTGATGGGCTTTAGTATGCGTTCCCTTGGTCAGCCTAACCAATGTGCAGACTACTGTACAATCGCTACTTCCTGAACAGGTAGTCTGAACACTGGGCAAGCGGGCCAGGCCTCTAAATCCACAGGGATGGAGGAGGGCCGTCCACTCCAAACTGTTCTGCTCCACTGAAAAACAAATACAGAACATTGACATGGGCTGAACAAAAGCACACGCATAGGCTAATGTGAATGAACACATGGAACACATTATTCTTCATTTAGCAGAATGCATATACTTGTTTATTATTGCATATTTGATGTGTTGTACATACATTATTGGGATTAGTTTCGGCTTCTAAAAGGAGATTTTATTAACTATTTCAAAGCACAGAATTCAGAATTAGCAAATCTTATTCTACAATGCAAAACAGACAAATCTACATGTATGTCTGATATAGATAGCATGATCACAGTTGTGTGGTGTTGCTGTTATTATATGTTCTTATGATAGTTTACCACATTTTACTCGTAATCTATGGACCTTGCTTGTTCCTAAAAAAGCATTACATCACCGTGAAACAAAAATGCACAAGTCTACCACAAATGATCTGATATCTTGTAATTGAGACAGGAAATGTCTAGCATATCTAGGCACAGTTAGAGAAGCTGGTTTTCTGTTGCTGGACAGCGTCCACAATCTGTGCAGTGCATTGTCTCTTTTTAGATTTCAAAGCCCACATGCAGACCATAAGTACTTGAAAATGCTATAAAGGATACCTCAGAGCTGGCGGGTCCGTGCCAAATGGCTTTGGCATGCTGCGATCAGACGGTTTCTCGCTCCTCTCAAAAACCTTTGTCCATCCTTTCCTCCATCCCTCCCTCTCTCTTTTTCTGTCTCTGTGGCTGAGCGCTGGTGGAGGTCCGAGTGAGCGAGCAAAGGAGCGGTGGGTGGGTCGGGGGGGTGAGGAGAGGAGGGTCCTCTGAGGGGTCTCAGTGTTTGATGGTGCTGAGAGAAGGCAGGAACGTGGGTGGCAAAAAAGCCTTTTTCTCTCCCGGCCCTTTCACCTTGGTCAGCTGGTAAAGAGTCTTCACGCTGTAAAAAAGACAAAATCGCTGCCGAAAGTGGTCTCGGGTGAAATTCTCGATGAAATCTTTTGCCGACCTTTAGCAAAACCTGTAGAGACCTCAAAACAAAGTTTTTAATGGAGGTTATTTCGCATGGAAGCGGATCAGCGGTCTAAGAAAGCTTCGCTTAGGGTCAAACGTAGATTTTGCTGAATCGACGTGGCAGATTTTTCCTCAGCAAGAGATGGAAAAAGAGAGAAGGAAAGGGAGCAGGAGGAGGCGGAGCGTGTTTTTTTCCCTTTTTTTGGGTTTATCTTTCTTTTCTTTTTTTATTAAACAGGAAGTGTTTAATAGAGGTTAGAGGTCAGCAGGAAGTGAGAATTGGCCTCTTTGGCAGGTCAGACTAATGTTGAAGACCTGTCAGTGGAAAGGCCGGCACCAACCTGAGTGTTTATGTGTTTCTGGTGATTTCTGGTGATTGGTGGGTTTCTGTTTGTGTGTGTGTGTGTGTGTGTGTGTGTGCCTGTGTGTGTGTGTGTGTGTGTGTGTGTGTGTGTGTGTGTGTGCTTCTTTTTCCTGCTGTGTGTGAGTTCGGGTTGGGGGGAGAGAGAGAGAGAGAGAGAGAGAGAGAGAGAGAGTCTGACTTAAGGAATGTTGGAGTTTCTTGGCGTGGAGGCTAAGCTGTAGTATCTCCAGATGTGCAGGCCTTTGGTCTCTACCTCTCTCCGTGCTGCTTTCCTTCTGAAGCTCACTTCCTCTCCTCAAGCTGCATAAAGAGCTCTTTATACTGGCTTTAAACACACACATACTTGTTTTTGTACAATGTTAAGCCATGGAGTCAACCATGTCCCATATGTATCATATCGTCACTGTCCAAAATGGCAACTTTACAGAAAGGGGCAAAATGTTTTTAACTTTTAATGTAAGAAGTTAATATGAAGAGATTTTACTCCAAGTAATTTTGAAGCATTTCTATTGGTCCGTTCATAATGATTTTCACACAGTGTTAAGGACAGCTGCTTTGCTTAAATGATGTAAAAAAATTAGTAAAGAGAGACACCCCTGTACAAATGTTGTCAAATGTCACAAAAACCTGTTTTGTGAAAAATGTTAACACATCCCCGACAGGGAGCAAATTTAAATATGGCTTTTTTTTCTACAATTTTGAGTTTAACATATTGGGAAAAAAATCAAATATAAAATATACTACAACTTTTGCACAAGTTACGTTTTATGCAGTATATCTTGATTTTTCTCTGCCAATAAGCTAAATTCTGCAAATGAACTGTAATCGTGCATTAGGTGTGTTCTCTATAGAGGGTTGTGATAACATATTTTCACTTAGAAAATCAACAAAGCATGTAATTTGGTGAGGGTATTCAAACTTTTGCATATGAATATATATCGTCAGTGTTGGAACAAAACCTTGGAGCTCAGCTTATGTCTTTTTTTTTTATACAAAATTTCATAATGAAGAGACCAATAGGAACGGTCCAAAACTGCTTGGAAAAACTATGTTTTTTACATTAACTTTCAGTGTAAGTAATGAATGTATTTTCTATCTCCTGAAAAGTACCGCTATATGAGATACAAGGTTTTGTTCTAACAGTGACGATGTGTATATATCTATAAGTAATCATAATTTGTCCCATATGTATTATATTAAAACCTATATGTATTAAGTATCTTTTGACCATAACCTTAAAGATAACCATAACCATAACCTCAGTAACCTAATAGAAAAGTTTTTTTCTTTCAGTTTTAAACAATGAAATATGTAGTGTTTGTAAAAGCACTTAACATAATAAGACCCATTTCTTCAGTCCTGTTGTTGATGAG